TCTATTATCCAAAAAATGGCTCGTAATGTAATATACGCGAATAACCGAGACACGACACTTGCTTGTTCGGTCTGATTTTGGTGGGAAGTTGGCTATGCAAGTCTTTAAAGACTCGACAGAAATTTTATCCATTAAAATTTTTTGAAACACATACGGCTTGGGAAACGCCGCCCTACTCTCCCATTCCCCGCAAGACTAAATTAATAGACTATATTAATAATCTACAATTAATATTAATTACGCTAATCAGTATATTTATTAATAATTGATTTGTACACTGATTTGTTTGCGCAATTGATTATGATCCGGAGACTGATCGCTCTCCTGAGGGGTGATGGACCAAATAATTGCTGGAAACATAAAGGAGTTAAAAACTATTCAAAATGCAGATACTCTTATGTATTCGGTTCTAAAAAAAGTTTTACAATCTTATTTCCGTATGCTAAAATGGGTTTGTGATAACTGCTGAAAGGGTAGTCTAGAACCATAAAGACCCGGAATTATTCCAAAAGCAACACTGAACTTTAGCCTTGAATAATGTTGTATGAAGACATTTTTAGACTTATTAAAAATGTCCCCATTTAAATTTATTATTTATTACATAATATAAAAAAACGAGAATTTAAAATTTATCAAGTAATACGACAGAAAATACAAAGGAGAACGTGATGCCACGGTACATTTCAGGGGATTAAGATTGTTGAATATTAATATTATAATGTTTATTTTATTTATCTTATTTTTATTGTGTATATTATAAAAATAATAAGAATCTAACAGTATCCATTTTTTAATTACGAGCACTAAGTTTAGATGGTAAAAGTTTGAGCTCTGAATATATCAAGTGGCTTACAGTTAAAAAATAAATCATCTCTCGCAGAGAAACAAAATAAAAAATGTCCAGTCGTCCTTGTGTTTATCGGGCAATTTTATCACAAACAGTATTTGCGCGAGTAAACTTCCGAGGATTTAAAATTCTGCCTTTGCTCTGTCAGTAATTACCATCAACAACGAGGCATAATAATTCTGAAAAACGGGTACTCAACTGTTGAACAAAATATTCATATCTCCCGACGCAGTAACAATTGCAATTAGATACACCCTTTCGATAATTTCAGCTTTACTTTGATGTTATTGTCTCATTAATATGCGTCCGTCATAGATCAAGACGAGGAATTCTCCTCTCGCTGCTTATTCCTTCGACAGCGGAATCTAAGCGAGATAAACCGTACGTGATAATAAAGTATATGAATGAAGAAATTCTTGGCATCCCGAAGGTCTTAATTCTGGTTCACCTTTATTAGAAAGAACTGATAAAGACTTTCTCGCTGCCCAAAGACTAATCACGCTTTAGTTCTGCTTTGGTACACCTTTGCGCGACGTACAAGTCGTTGTCTAATCAATGTTTGAAATTCTCAACTTTAAATAGGTAAGCAATTACTTCTCCAATGCTAATTATCAACTCTTGTATTAATCGCACGCTCAGAACACACCATAAATGCATTTCATACATCGAAACGTAGAAACATACATATGTCATGGGAAAAGAAATATTAGAATGAGTTAACCTACGGCATACCTTCTTCTTTTAACATGTATTAGACATCGTCGTAACAGTTTATCCGGTCACATGATATTTAGCGAAATTAAGATCCGATGCAAAGAAAAAAGCAAACAAAAATTCCTTAGGACAGTGATTGTTCATACGCAGTGAACAAAGTGCCTTGTTTGATTAATCATAATGTAACTGCGAGACTATCGGACTTTAATTACACAGTAGGGTGTGAAAGCATTCCGCCATTCATAGTTTTTACAAATAAATTGGAAATAGTCTCAACCTTGAGATTTTTAAACAAAAGTTGTAGCTTCTACTTTACTACTCACAAGCAGCAAGTCAATTATTTGCCCTCGAGTAAATCGATTGTTCCGTAGATAATTGTTTTCGATTTATAGGACGACTACAAAAAATGGTAAAGCTGTTTCTAACCAATGTACACAAAAAACCAAAATAGTTATAAGATAACCATGTCTATAAACATAAAGAAACTAGAAAATTAGTTAGATAGTAATATGTATATTATAGAAAAAATAAAAAATTTATTTTAATAATATTTTATGGCCTTGATTAATAGGAGACATGGGAAAAATTTTTTGTAATATAGTAAAAAAATAATAATATCAACAGAGTTAGGGCAGTTGAATTTGAAGTTTCTAATTTACTTAAAAATAGTAACATTTCTGACCAATTTGAATTTTAAATCTTCTAATCTTTTTAATCTTGTAAACTTATGACACTGAATCATAATACTCTAGCTATTACTATTACTATGGCAAAAAACTTGCGCAAAATTGTCTATAGATTAAAATATTCGATTTGTTGTAGCTAGCTCAGCCACGACAGCAAAGAAAAGGCGGTTTATTCATTTTTTGTGGTAGCTGTATATAATTTCGTAAAATATGATGGCATTTGGTAATAATAAACTAACCAAATCATGTTTAGTAAATTGCAAAATTACACTATAATAAAAGTTTGTAAATTTGTTTATTATTACAAATATGGTAAGTAATTTGTCTTTACCGCGGTTAGATTACTAGTTGAAACAGACAAAAAGTCGGGGTGAGGAAAAGACTCTCAACTCAAAAATATCATCTTTAAAGTCTACACCACTTTAACAGAAGATAATCGTGAGCCCACAAATTAATTAATACGTCCAGATAAAGCTTGTATATTTTTGAATAACAGGGGTGTGCTTACAAAAAACTCGTTATGTTTCGTAATATAATATTGAATTAAAATTTTGTAATAATAATACAAAATGGAACCACCTACGTGGGTGGTTTGAAAAGTTTTGCGTGTGGCTCTCTAACTCGAGATTGTAACAGTTTAACTAAAAATTGGAGTAATCATAAAGTGGGCATACTTTCATGTAGCCAATGAAAAAAAAGTAGAGGAAAATTCATTATCTCGTTGTCGAGAAACCTTTTTTTTATAAAGAATAGTAAAACAACTGGAAAAAAATGAGCCATAAAAACTAACGACACTTTATTTTTGCTTCTTAGAAAAATAGCAGAAATGTGACTCAAATCTACGATAAGTTGGTGAATATAGAAAGGAAACAAATATTGTCTACCAGCGCAATTAGACGTTGGATTGTTACATTCAAACACGAATAAGAAAATATTAGAGACAAAGGCTCGTTCTGGCCGTCTTCGCGAAGCAGTGACGTCAGAAAAAATTGCCAAAATCGAGAATTTTGTCAGCAATAACCCGCACATTTCTATTAACATTTTAGCCAACCAAACCAGTAATTCTCCTGAAAAAATCTCTCTCATTTTGCATAGTGAGCTGTGCCTCCAGAAGAAGGGACGAACAACTGTTCGTGACGTACCATAATGCTGCGTCACATAAGGCAACGAGTATCTTCACACCGAACGAGTGAAACTTATTCTCTATTGCCATACAGCCGAGACCGTATTTTTTGTAATTTCTTCTTCTTCCCACGAATAAAGAAACAACTGAAGGGAAAAACATTTGATAAGGGCAAGGGTTGATCAGGCAGTTGCTAAAACCATCCCAAAAGCCGACTATGAGAAGTCTTTCTAGAGTTGACAGAATCGTCTGCAATGTTTCATGGACATTAATGGAGAGTACTTTGAGGGAACAAAATAGTCGTATTGATACTTATTATGAAATTTCTGGAAATAAAAATCTACGCGCAAAACTTTTCAAACCCCTCACGTACATTCTTCATGTGTAATTTTCCATACACAAGTAAACTTGTTACTTATTTCGAGCCAAGAGTGAATTTAAAGTATTTTATTGAATTAAATATATGTGTATTCTTTTATACGAATTACTACGTGACAACCGGGATACTTGTGGAGACGTTACGCGTTTAATTTTTTTTTCTTACGTCGTACAGTAATTGTCTCGGCAATAATTTCCCGAATATCTTACTGCGCATTGTACGCTTAATACACGTTTGTTTTGTTGACTGTAAATAAAACTACATATCGGGTCTTGAACAAAAGGCGTTTCATTGTCATTGTCATTGTCATTGTCATTGTCATTGTCATCATTATTATCCTAACCGTTTCATTTTAATTTCTTGTTACCGGGTCTTCGGTCGCGATGCTAATAGAAATTATGTATTAGCGTTAGCTGATACCTTGCTAATTGCTCGGAAAATGGTTAAATCCCAAAGGTTGACTCCTCCGATTGTTGAGTCGACAAGCACTAAAAACAGTTTACGAGCGAGCCGTAGCAGGCTGAGCAACAGGGACGCATGCTTGCAGACTTTTTTGAATATTCTCAGTGTATTGGATATTTCCTTGTTTATAAATGTCTCTTGGAACTCTGGTACCTTAATTCTGTTGGTCAACATGGGACTAAACTCCTATCGTGCTTTTTTTTTCTTGTTGCGTATCGCGAACAAGATGTGAGATGCGTCGTAAATTTATCAACAAACTTTTTGACCTCGTCATGCGGATTACTTCTCACGTTATCTGCCTATGAATATCAACAAAAAATAACTTGATTCTATTTGATTCTCTCCCATTTTGAACACAACAAAAAATGCGGTTTATCTGTGCTGTGACAACACGTATTAAATTGGATGATCAAAATTTTAAATTGTGTTCTTTAGTCTGTTTCGAGTCTTACGGGATATCGCATTAAGATTGTATATTTCATGAGTCTTTTAATTTTCGACCCTTTCAACAGGGTGATCTCAACAAAGTTGTTTATTTGTGTTTAAATTTGAGTTTGAACACAGACAAACTATTTTGGAAATCTATCAACATCGTTTCTAATATGCATAATAATAACTGTCATGTCGGTCAGGCTGATCCAACCGCTTCCAGTCCAACATTGCAAGCATCATCTCATCTTTTAGTATTTTTTTTTATTATTTATGAAAAAAAAAAGGTATCTTTCAGATTACATCAACAACCATCTATTATCATAACAAACTAATACATACGATTAGTACTATCTCTAATTAAAAATATTTGTTAGCTCCTTTATTCACGCCGTTACCAATGCCATTGCTCTTGCCGTTGTGATTGCTCACAAACTTAACATTAACAGCTGTCTTGGCATCAGCTTTACCGTGTTTGATGCCCCTTCCGTAAGTTCTAAACGCAAATTGCAAGAACAGGTAAAGCAACGGACCGACATAAGCTAAGGTTACGACCGCACTAAACCTTTCTCCAGCATTCATACAACCAGGTATGATGAAATACGTAAACGAAAGCGTACTTCCAACTGTGAATTGCAAAATCTGAGCTGTTGTCAAGTATTGCTTCCCAGGTGGAGAGAATCCAACTGAGGTGAGCGCGTAGTAAAAGTACATGATTGTGTGAATAAACGAGTTGAATACAACAAAAATCCAAAGCGCAGGTGCTGCAAATTTTGTAGTTATCCACATTGTGATTATGGCACCAGCGTGGTGATATGACTGAAGGAAAGAAGAGCGACGACCCTTCATGAGGATTATGATTGTATCGATGATCTCGTAGTCTGAAGCAAAACAAATAAAATAAACATTGGTTATCACAAGCGCTCATATCAAACAACAAAAGCACGTTTTATGTACTCTGCTACTCACATTTTGAAAGGTAGAACAAGTATGCCCAGTAACCAATTGATTCATTCCAGCAAACCTTTCCATGATCGCAGAGTGCCTCATTCCAGCTTTCGGCCGTTCTATGTCGCTTGGCAAGCGCACTAAAGACATTATAAAACGTAATCCCGGAATACAAACATAAGATTGCATTGTGTACGAACACGAACGCAGTCATTCGTTTTCCACTTTTCTTGCTTGTATGTGTCGTGTCTAGTCCCTTTGATTTGGCTACCACACGTGAAACAGCGGATGATTTTGGATTGAGAACGAGGATAGAGAGAATATATGCAACAGCAACAGAGAGAGGAAATCGCCAATCCATCAGAATAGGATAGAGATGAGGGAAAGGTATGCCTTGCGGCGGAGGTGGAGGGTCGAGAGACTCGAGGAAAGCATCGATTCGAGATTGAAGCGACATGATTGACCCTGTGTATTGGATGTTTCCCGCCTGAAAGACGAAGTATTCTCCTGCGATCCTTTTTTTTCACTATCGAAAGCGACGACGTTTATATAATAATGCTATAATAAATACACATGTATATTTGAGTTAGTACTTATAGGGGATTTCATCTTTTTTTTCTGCCCCAACAAACGACATTTGTTGGGGCAGGCAGAATAATGTCGAAAGGCTAAAGAGTTGGATGTGCAGTGTAAAATTCTATATATGCCATTATCTCATTTGAAATCCACGTGCTAATATAAGCTAATATAACGTCACACTAACAACTTTTTGCAGCATGGGCCTTTGGTAAAAGTTGTTTCGTCTTTTGAACGGTTTACCATCAAGCTTTAACGGGCAACGGTAATAGCTATAACAATGTCTCATTTGGAAATAAGAAACCCATACTATGCGTATCAAATTCGGTAAATTTCACATGTGAGATAACCCTGCTAATCATAAATAATATGCATAACCTAAACAAATAAGTCGAAAATACCGCAGACTGTGTTTAATTATAGATTTTTTATGCGATTGACCCTCTTCTTGGCTGTAACGAAAAACATTACAGTAACCAGCTTTTAACTGCTACAGCTGTTTACAGTATACTGTATATGCCAATTGGATTGATACCGGCCCACTAAGTTTGTTTGTCCACTTACGTAAGGAGTCTATCCCGCATGTGCTTATTTTCACAATACATCTCGCGAGTAGCAATTAAAATGCCCTGAAACAAACATGTTTCAACTGTACAAATCGAGAACTGGAACTGCCCATGCTTTGTTCGGTCAATGCGCCGTTTTACGGAATTGCAAAACAAGAAGCTGTTAAAAATGTCGATATCCAATTTTATTATAGAAATTACAGTACATATTAATACTAGTACATCAATATTAAAACCAACATGTATATTATTATTATTATTACAATTCAACTCGTTCAAACCGGTCGACTCACTCTATTTATCATTCTTTAATATTTTTATACTAATAAACAATGCATTCGCGTCTACTATAGTTTTGCCATCGACGGTTTCCATCTTGCCCTCAACAAATCCTTTTCGTCCCTCAACCTTAGTAACCGTACATTTGACCACAACAAACTGATCAGATACACACGGTTGACGGTAGTTAATGTGTAAGTAAGCTGTAGCAGCATTTTTATCTGGAAGATTGGGAATTGTCTAACAATAATTTAATGGCAGATTAATCAGGGTGAGATAATTTGGAATAGAGCAAGCAATTTACACTGGTCAACTTACTGTAAAAGCGAGACATTCATCCATTACTGTTGCTAGCATGCCACCTAAATATAAAACAGTTTCAATCTTCCAGATCGTCTGTTATATAGCAACCGTTCCTTATAATCAATGTCGGCTTACCATGTATAATGCCTTGATGCCCGCACAAGTTTTTTCCCAAGTGATAAATTGCAACAACTTCTTCACCCGCTTCATTACCAAATCCCTCTTTCCTTCTAAATACCAGAGGTTCGATCGCCACTTTACCATTCCCTGATAACGATCCGGCGGTAAGATGACTTTTCTTTGCCTCATCACTAAACATAGAATATCCCCGGTTAAGTTCCACATAGGATGGATCTGAGCGGAGAGTTTGAACAATTTGGAGAGACTGGAGTGCTGACTCTACCTGAGAAGTCAGTTTCGAAGACTGTTTTCTATTCACAATATTTGTTACTAACGATAGTGTCGCCGCCAAGGTGATAAATGTTAATGGCTTTGGAAGAATATGGTTAAGAGAAGCGAGAGAATGCTGAGCATTAGACATTGTGAAATTTTAGACAGAATCGGGTTCGACCCTCCACTCCCTATGTTTATTTATACTTATTTCCCACCGCACTATTATTATCCGTTTGCCGAAATCAACGTATCACACATCAAACATCTCATCATGAAAATTTCCCGACTGGTCCGATAATATAAATCACCCGGGGATGAATCACATGTCAATTCTTGCCGGAAAATCTTTTTATACTGGGCAAAGTAGAGGTAACAGACGACCCGTGATGCGACATTACATGTCACTTACTTATAATAGCAAAAGTAATCAAAGTATAAAGATAACTTCATCTAATGTAAGTGATTCACGATGGTAGCACGATATTGAAATGTTATAGCACATGGTCGTAAAAAGATCGCCGTTGTAGTTTGGTCAAAATGTACATTTATCATAATGTCATCTTGCGAACAGTGTACTGAATGGGCGTGTAATGTTTTTTTATGCTAAACTTTTCAACTCCAACTATGAAATCGACAATAAACGTGCGTGACAGTAGTAAATTTCTCAATACAGCAAAAAAGAATACTTAGATTGATAAAATCATAGAGTAAATTACACGACACTTTATGATACACCTTCGTTTATAGACAATTCACAATGAATGCAAGCAGCTCTTTGACACTACTCTTTCAGAAAACGTCTCTTATTCATATGCTTGAATGCACAAGTATAATGCCACTCGGCTAATTTCGCCCTTTCCTAATCCAGACGAGAGTCTCAACAGAAACAATGGTGTTAGGCAGTCTTTTGAAGATCATCCGAATGAGAACTCCTTTTCTTGAATATATAAAAGGTCACATTCGATCATCCTCCAAAAGTAACTTGTTACGATTGTCCTTTCTTATCAGACTATAGCTCCAGCTATGTTCGAGAAATCGAATAACTTTATAACACGTACCCTGCCCATACTTTCATTTAGTTGCTTGGCATATGCTTGTTGATATTCTTTGTTCGTAGAAGTTCTCGCATACGCCAGGTAACGCAATATTCTACTTTGCGCCAATAAAATGCCATTTATCACATGAGGATCGACAACCTGAATGCTAACTGAAATTTACGCGTTTTTCCTTTTGATACCAAAAAAAAAACCATGTTCTCTCTAGAAGACTGCATAGAACGTCCACTGGATATAGCTCAGCTCATTTTTGGTATTCGAAATCCACAACATCATTGAGAAATAACGCTGACGTACAGAGTCATATACTGATATCTTGCTTTATGGAATACGCGTTACAGAACAGAACTGGAATCCGAATCGAGAAAACTGTGAAAACCAGTTTGGGATTCCCGAGTATTTCCAAAGTGCTTTTCAGCATGAAAATGATATTTACAAAGTACGTACACTTGCGTAATGATAAAAACGAACACATGACACAGTTAACAAGCAAGGAACTAGTGTATTGCACAAGATTTTAACAGTTGCTCTCTTTTCCATCTTCTCTACTCCCGCGGAAAAAACTACATCACGATTATCCCACAGATACCCTCTCTAAATGATATTCCCGTTGACCAAATTCAGTCCAATACTCTCGTTCGCTTTAGAGGAATGATACAAAATACTTTTCTCGCCGTTGAATTATATGCTCCTGTACATGAATCGCTCGACCGGAATGGTGATCAGGTGTTGGTGGAGATCTATCTATCCGTTATTGCCCCCACGTATATTTGAAATACAAGTCGCAATGAGAGTCAAGTGTGTTAATTGATAATTTTGTAATTTACGTTTGTTAGACTTGGAAATTGCATCGGTACCAGGATTACAACGATGAAGTAAGCTTTCTTGCCCAAATGGTAGAATCGGAGCGGAGGTTAAGAAATGTGTATAACACTATGAAGACAATGCCATATTTTGCAGTCAACTGGTTACACCCTTTGTCTTTAATAGATACCTCTGGCTTAACGCAGATCTGCTATGTTATAGGAACAGGGACTAGGTCCAAATCTGGAACAACAAAACAGCCATTTTGACGAGAAATGCTCTTTTTACGTTACATCCGTACCCGGCGAAACAGAATGGGCGAGGAAGATATCCTTTTCTATTGAAGAAATAGTTACTATTATGTGCTTTCTTGATTATCGTTATTCTTAGCGTGTCTAGTACGGTTTCAGATCTGAATATCACCAAGGCACACAAGATCCCATAGAAGGTGAGTAGGATGTCGTCATTGCTTTATTGTTTGGATTTACTCAATTCGTCCAATTGCTGTAGGATTGACATGGCAAACAGCTTCTTTGTCTATCAACAATACTGACATTGACAAAAGAAAGAAGCGTATCGATTCAAAATATCCATTTCCCAATGAGAAGCATATCGGTGTTGTTGTCAAGGTCAGTCGAGACAAACACATGATGTATTAATTGATTTTTTGCCGATAAACCCGGTCGACCCTCACTACATAACCACATACAGATTTACGAAAAAGATGCGTCAATAAAAGTTACCGACGTGGTAGAATTCGTCGGAGTACTAGAAGAACACAGGTGTTAGCTTAGCATTGCTCATTTGTTTTCGTATCACTCTATTCTTTTGCTCACATCTCACCTTTCATACAGAACATCTCCAAATGCCGATGCTGACGGAGATGGCTTTGTCGACCCGCTAGCATTGCTCTCTGTGCCATGCATCCATTCAATATTTTTCCGCAAGATCCATCCAAGTGGAAATCCATTGTTGCATAATCCTAGTAGTAAGTATCAATCAAATTAGCATATGATTTGTGCTTGACGAAAACCAATTAATCTTTCATTAGTTGAACGAATTGTCAGGGAAAACGCGCGCGAAATACGAAGAGAATTAATTCGATATATTGCCAGTGTATTCTATGGCGATGAGTTGGTTGCCGAATTTCTATTACTCCAGTTGTTATCTAGAGTGTAAGTAGCAGCCTATCTAAATTTGGTGATACCACCTATATCGAGAGTTTCTCATTGTGAAATATAATCTAATAACACGTGTATCTAATTGAACAGTCATTCTCGAAGGAGTGGTTTGATACTTGGAAAATTTGCTTTAAACATAACCAACATTAGCTCATCGGCGACGAATTCACCGACGTCATCGCACACTGTGCTCTCCTCAAACTCTTCCTCATCTACTCCAGTCGTTCTAACCCACAAACCATACTTCTCCTCAACCGTTTCCGCATTGCTTTCTTCCCTCCTCCCTCGTTACCATGATCTTCCTTTGACTTTGGAAATATTAAATAACGTCTTCATGTATCCTCGAAATCTCGATGCTGATGATGGCTTTTTGGAGAGTGGTGTCTTGCAAGTATCTGAAGGAACACGGTTGTTGATTGATGAGACCGTGTTACAGGAAGGAAAACTTGGCGAAAGTGGTAAGCGTGGAGAGGGTCGGTAAAGAAATCAGAGGCAACTTTGTGGGAAAAGGCAGATTTTGTAACAAGATGGAATGTTCATGTAAATGGACATCTAAAACGTTGGATATGATAATTGAAGTCATTATTGACATTGTTTTTGAACTATTGCTTTAGGTGTGCGCAATATCCAGGCGATTGAAGAAATTTTAACTCAGCAAAAGTTAGGCTATGCCTTTCCGTTTCATACTTTTCAATACGAAACAGACATTGGAGTTATAATTTTGTCGAATGCCAGGTCATTACTTCCCGTGAGTATTCAGTGTCTATTATATATACTCTGTGATTACGTTCACGTCGCTGACATACTGACATTTGACTATCAAGTGCGATTGTACTATTCCTTTGTCTCCCACAGATCAATCTCAGTCTTACCAGCCGAATGAAAAATTAATTAATGATTTTAGATCGTACTTGAGCGCATTACGATATGCCGATTACACTATACCAGAGGATGTTTCACTGGTGAGTTATAATGACACATTCTGTATAAGATACGAATTTGGTTAGAATGAAGAACATATAAATCAAACTACTCACTTTACTATCGTATCAATAACAGTACATCCAAAATCATTATGTGAATCAACGCCGAGAAGCAGCAAAGTCGGGAAATGCATTGATGACTCAAGATGATTTGAATTTCCGAATGACCTTAGCAAGGTGACATTTAAAAATCAAAGATAATAAATTGCGTCATGTATACGTTTTTGTGCTAATGGAATTCTATGCTGTTTTATAGATTGGTCACCCTGAGCTTTAACGAAACAATGCTGACAACAGAATTATGGGACTACACGCAATCGCTGGATGACTCTCGACAAGGGCGAATAAATCAATTTCAATAAAGATAGTTGAAGCGCGAATTCGGATTATTACGGTGAACCCTTTCTAATATCAACCTCATGGGGCCGGCCAATTTCGTTGGTACATGGGTCAAAAAAAAAGAGATTAAATTTCGTATTTGCTGTGTCATGATCAAGGGATCAAATTACATGATTGATAGCTTATTTGAAAGCTGAAAACCAACAGATTTATTAATTGCAATTAATAGCGCCCATGCTGGAATACTCCTCCACTCCTCCATCATAAATTGCTCCGGTTCACTGATACTTTTGGGCTTTCGTTTCTTTACATCACTTTCACAATAGCGTATAAGTTTTCAATAAAGTTTAAGTCAGGACTATTGCAAGACGACTAGTATGCTTGGGGCCATTGTCTTGCAAAAACCCCATTCACCCACCCCAAGCATTGGTCTATTTCTGGGAAATATTGCTGGCATCGATGGTTTGTCGAAATTAGTGACAAATACAATTTTCGGTTTTTTTTTTTTTTGAACATATTTAAATAATGACGTCACACTAATTAATTAACATATCTCGAGTTAAGTAATATCGATATGAGCGAGCAATCAGGAAATTACAGTACACAGTGAAACTCGATAAGTCGGACACGACGGGCTGGGCATGGCTGTCCGACTTATCGAGAAATCCGAGTTATC